TACAAAGTGGGCTCAAGGCCAGTCTGAACTGCATAGAGAGTACGGAGACCCTGTCTGAGCCTAGAACTCACTTTGTAGCTCAGGCTGGCCTCGAAATCGCGGCGATCCTCCTGCCTCAGCCTCCGGAGTGCTGGGATTACAGGGCCATCAGGCCCAGCGCACAAATATAATTATTGTGTATCGCAAACATACACCAATTGAAAAAAAAAAAAAAAAAGCGCGAGAATATGTAAGATCAGACTGCCTCTGTTCAAAGCCTAGCACTGTGACCAGGAGCTGTGGGCCAGCTCCGCAGAAAGCAAGTGTTGTCACCCACCCAATCTGCACGACTTTCCCCGCTGGAGGTCCCTGGAAAGTGGGCACAGATCTACGCAACACCTGAAAGCCCTCGAGAAGCACTTCCCAGAGCGCCGGCTTCTCAGCGACTGGGCGATTCTGCCCAGCGGGGGGTGGGGGAGGTCTGCGTGGGCAGGACAGCCGCCTGGAGGCAGAACCTTCGTCCCCAGGCCAACCCCTCTCCCGGCCCAGGAGGGACGCGATGACACCTCACTCCCGCAATGGGTACCTGTGCCTGGAGCCCCGCAGATCCCAACCTGCAGCTAAGCGGAAGCACGTGGGGCCACGGAACGCTGGAAGAGGAAACAGCAGCAGGCTGCCCCTAGCGAATGCCTGGCCGCCAGCTCTCACAGCTCACTCTGCCCCGCGCACGCGGTCCGCTCAGGCGCTGAGAGACAGCGCGCGCGCGCGGACCCAGTAAAGGCTCCGCGGCGGCCAGCGATAGGGGACCTTCCTAAACGCTGTCTCCGCGTGATGACGTCAGACACCCGGGACGCGGAGCCGCTCTATCGTGCCACTACCAATGTGGGTTCGTTTCTGGTTGCCGTGTTACGGCGAATAAGAAGCATCTAAATGGCCGCACCCCCAGCCGCTTACTGCCGTGCTAGCGCCAGCGACACGTTACCCCATAGGTTCGGGGCGACACACGGTTTTCCCACGGCTGTGTTGTCCTGGTTCTGCGAGTGGGGACGGCTCCGCACTTGTGCAAAATTTTACCGATCCCCTTGTTTAACTTCCCACTTCAATGAGAGAAAATTCGGCCCCCCGACCTGTTTTACTTATCTCACTTGACCCTCCAACCCGCAATATTGACCTTGTGGACCTACCTCCAGTTTTTTGCACTTACTACCCACGACCCGCTATGCTTCGCAGGCCCCCCTTGGCCGGGTTCAAGATTTAAAACTAGCCTTGGGGATGTGCTTTTTAGCTGCTCCACTCCAGCTCCAGACTACAGGGGTTACCTGTTTGAAGCCGGAGCTAACTTTCAAATATGTAGAGTCGCTTGCGCGATTTTTTCTTGGGTATCACAAAGGGAATGTTCAAGACCGAACTCAGTTATTTGTCTTACCCATTTAAACTCCATCTCCGAACAGGCACTTCGAATTTTAATGTGCTCAGCAACACTGCCCATCTCTCCAAAAGCCGTGTTTCTTTTTAATTCATTCAACAAAATGCCAGACTTTTTTTCTCTGGTACTAGGAATCAAACTCGCGCACTTGCCAGGCAGGCGCTGTGCCGCTGAGCTGTAACCCCGGCACCCCCGCCAGACTCTTTAAAGCTTAAAAATTCTAAATGGTATTAAGGAAAAAAAAATTCCCAGTAAGTAAAAAGTGACCTGAGTCACTTTTAGAGGGTAAGGCAGTCCTCAGAGGTAGTGACACTGGAGTAGATTTAAACTTAGAATGAGCACTGAAAATATGGCAGCCTGACCATGCTGCAAATGTACACAGAAGCACCTAAGTGCGAAAAAGCTCATGAAAGCAGCCAGTGTAACCAGGGTATGGTGAACAAGAGAAACCAACCGGAAAATAACCCGGATGATACCGGAAATGCGGACCAGGCTTACAATTTAATTTAAAGAGAACCACCGGAGTTTGGGGCACAGAGGAATTACAAGATCCAGTTTGTGCTGAAAAGTTCATTCTGGCTGCTGTACAGAAACTGGACCACAGAAGGGCAAGAGCAGCAGCGAGAACTATCCTAAACTACTGCATCTACACGCTGTAGAATGGTAGTGGCGGTGGTCCTGAGCTAGCTGACTCAAACTTACATGGACCCATGTGGACTTAAGTACCCCAACTAATAGACCTGAGCATCTGGATGAACAAAAGGAGCAGCTGTATATTAATGAGGTCGATTTAGAGTATCTGAGACACTCAAATAAACATGTTTTTTAGTGTGTTTGGCATTTTGAGGGTCTGAGGAACTGCACATACTTAGGAGTGACTAAAATACTGACTATATTCAAAATCATGGAACTGAATGCATCACCTGCTGAGAGTATAGCTAGAGATGAAGTCTGTAGTTCAAGGCCTGCAGAAGCCATCGAAGGGTACTCAAAGTAGCCAGTGAAACAGGAAATGTGTAGAATACACTTACCACTACTGCCCCACACCTTAATTTTAAGTTGCAGTCATTTCCCACAAGGAGAAGGCTACTTCAATAAAAATGTACCTCCTACATCTCTTAGCCCATACATTTCTTCAACACTGTAGGGTCTTTTAAATGGCAAATTAGGTGACCCTGAATACTCAGCTTAAAACTTTCAAGAATTTCCATTGTTGAGACAAAACAACATGGCAGGTAACTATAAAGCTTATAGTATCCCTTACCTGTGTCTCTAGCCTCTAACTGCTAATTCTTACTTTTATGTGGTACTGGGGCCTGAACCCAGGGCCTTGTGCATGCTAGGCAAGCCTTATCATCACTCAAGCCCCTTTTCCAAATTTTTGTGGGAGGATCTCTTGGATTAGTTATCCAAGCCGGCAACCTTGTGATCCTCCTGCCTCAGCCTCCCACTTAGCTGGGATTACAATCAGGTACCATCTTCCTGTCTGTTAATCCTTAACTTTTTCCACTTGGGCCACACAGCATTTGCAAGTGACTGGGGACTGGACCTTTGGATAGCTTTTTCCCTCTGTTTAGATAAATACTCTTTATCCAAGTCTTAGCTCTACTGTCCCCTTCAAGTCTCTCTGATCAGCTTGACTAGGTCATTTACCAGTCATGCTGTATCTATGATCAACCATGCTGTTCTGTCATGCCACTTACTACACTCACTACTTCAGCATCTTTAAACCACAGTATTTTTCTCACCCAGGGCTCGGCAGCATGCCGGACAAGGATAATCAAATTTGCTGAATGAAGCCTTAGTTCAGTGCCTACGTGTCTCCCTAATATAAACACAATACTTACTGAAGTCTAACAAGTATACAAAAACTGTGTAGCCAACCAGGGACAAACTGCTGGTCTTCCACTGTCAACATTTAAGGATCTAGGCTGCTGCATGGAAAACTAAATTAGGCTTCAGCACAGCTTGTTCAAGGAGGGTACTAGAAGGGCTACAGATTGACAGCATAGCAGCCTATCCTTCACAGAAGACTACCAGACAGATTTGTCCTTTCTTCTCTCACAAGGAACACTTCTTTGCTTAGAGCTTTGCTGGGTAACATGCAACCAGAGCAGGCTTCAAAGACAGTGAGGTATCAACTTTTCATATAATTTAATCTAATGTTACTTAAAATATTTACTAGTCTTTTCAAGTATTTTTTTAGAATTCAAAATGGAAAAAGGTAACTTTTAACCATTAAGCTTTTCCCCTTACTGTTCTTCCTCCCATGTATTTATTTCCATAAAAAGGGACAAGCTCAAGGGCAACACTGACTCTTCTTCATAAAGGGTCACTTAGTAAATGCTAAAAGCACTTAGTAAGAGCTCAAGTGGAATGCAGATTCGGGAGCTTCAAGTTGAAATCAAGTATATGGATACACGGTTTAGCTGTGTCTCATTTCTAATTAGATGTATTACTAAAAATATGAACTGATAAAAAATACGAACAAATTTCCTATAGCACTTAGGAAGCTCAGTGTTCAATTACTGTACCTTCGACATTTATTGACTGGTTATCAACTGAGCACCTCAGTTAATGAGCCTGATAGTAAGCACACATTCTCATGTGTCCTGTAATTGGCAAGTCTCCTACAGAGCTGTATGTATAAGGAGACAAAAGAACTAGTAGAAGTTAACTGATTAAAAACACTGAACAGTCATTTTAATATCAAGATACAATGATCAGAAAAAAAATCTTCCATATTTTTAGGAATATTAGGATCTAGAAACAAAACTGCCCTGACCAAGGTAGTCACTAACATTCTCCCTTTACTGAAGATTTTTTAAAAAGTTTCATTATCCATGTAAGGTGACTGATACTGTAGTCTTGTGCCACAGCATTTTATACATGGTCTCGCTATACCAAGAGGCTACAGTCATGTGTGGAACCATCATCTCCTTGTAACTCTGCTAAAATATACATTTGACCCAACAAAAGGCTTTCTGCACCTAAGACAAGCATTCAAGTATTAAACAAAATACCGAGTACCAAGATTCTGATCTTGATGGGTCTTTTTCAAAAGTTCTCTGTCCAATAATGAGGTATTTCTTTAAAAATATGGTCTGAATTGAGACATAAAAAGTTTATGTAGAATGCCCCCCCACAAAATTATAGTATTTCAAAAAGAAACAACTCTTAAAACATAGAAGTAATAAAACTACAAACACCTTTACACATTCACATCTGTGCTAATGCATAGAAGTTTGAAACTCAGAAGGGGTATCTCTCATCCCATCCCTCCGAACTGACTCATTCTGATTGTAAAAAGAAACAGAAAAACTTACTTCAAAAGTATGACTTCTAAATGTCATGAAATTATTTTCTACAGAGATAACAAATTTAGTTTTATACAGGATTGTAAGCTCATGTTACGTAGGGGTTATCCAACAAACCATGAATGTTTTATTCACCCCTCTAAAATACAACTTACATATGGTTGTGGTACATCCCAGGCAGATGAAATCAAAGCACACAAGGGGAGGTGCCAGCAAAAGGAATACTCATTTGTGAAAGTAAACAGATAACCCTTTCAATATGATGTACCACAACCACACATGAGAAAAGTCAAGAATTTTATTTATTTTAAAATAAACATTGAGGATTCCCCATTACCCACCACCCTACAAAACTTTTGAATGTGGAATGTTCAACAGCCTATCCACTTTAATAGGTTACAAAACCAGCAAAAACTCCAGTTGTCTAATGATGAATAGTTTTGGTTTGTTTTGCTGAGTACTTACTGGACAATTTCCTTAGCTAAAGGCTAAAAATAAAATTTTAATTTCTGCAAAGAAGATACCATTAACTTAGTAGCCTTTGCTTAATAGGTGGGATCAATTCTCCATAAAGTCAAAGTGGTATGGGACAACAAGCAGCATTGAGTTCATAGGCACACAGAACTAGTGCTCGAACTGCTAGCACAAACTCCAACATAGTACATACGGCTAAGTCACTATTAAACCGTCTATCTCCATCAAACTTGAGACTCTCCCTATGCATCTACGGGAAGAAATCACCACTTTAAACATAAATGCCTCCATGGGAAAAGGAGAAGTCAATTAGAGGTGAATTAGACAAATGGTAAGTGCAAATACTACAGAAACAGCTGCTGGAGACAACCATAAAATCCGTGACACTCACAATGCATGGGGGCGAATCACATAAGCTGCTAGCTGTTGAACACCAGTGTTTCAAGATACAACTTTTATACACTTTTTATTTGTTTTGCTAATACCATCAGGACTGAAGCTACTGACTGTCATTTCCCTAAAACAGGGAAATCAATCTAAAACACATACTGGTGCTTTTCAAAAGATAGCAATTTAAAAGGGTGGTAGCAGCAGGCATTTGATGTCTTTTTTTCTTTTAAGAACTTTCAAGCTGCAGGAAAAACATGTGCCCAAGAGTGTTATGATTATCCATTAGAGACTTTCATCATTATCTGTACCAATTTAGGTAACAATACAGCAAGATCCAAGGATTAGTGATGACAATGTACATGTCATAAGGACTGATATATAGTACCAATCCTTATAAAAGTCACCGTCTCAAAGAAACTGTTAAGAAGTGTTCAAAGGTATCTAAATAATTCACATTAAATACAGAAGTGGCCCGTCCAGATTATTTCTCATTATGTTGAATATTTTTTCAAAAAGTGCCAATCAAAGCCTAATTTGCATTGTGGCTTTGTCTTGCAGTAATCAGCTGTTAAAAAGCAATTTACATGTGTTTTTAATCACAGTCATTTGGCCAGATGAACAGTGCTGTGTCAAAGCTGGCAGCCAGCCTTCCATGTGTGATAGGGACCCACACATAATTTGGTACACCTCCCAACAGTTAGCGCTCCAACTGAACTGGAAAAGCTGTGAAATGCAGTTGTTTTGCCAAACCACACTCCACTCCTTCCATCTTCCTCTCAAGGAAAATATCTGTCAATTGCCATTGAAAAACTCTAGGGCTGACTTGTAGATTTTATCCAATGTCCAAGAGTCAGACTTGCTTTTGTTCAAGCCACTTCAAATAACTATGGAGATATTATCACCCCATAAAGTATATTAAGTTTTACTCCTAAGCAAGGGTGAGGAATCTGAGTATCATGTGCAAGGCTCAAGATGACGCTTAGGACAGAACATGCAGAGTAAAAATAGTTTCCTTCCATATCCAGGTAATATAAAGCTGACAATTGTAGTCCTGTCTTTATGGGATGAAAACAGTCCCTTTACAATAAATTTCCTGAAAGGGAGAACAAATAGATAATAACTCTTCTGGTAACATATTATGGTACACTGGCCAGTGTGTTTTTGGCGATTAAACATAATCCTGTGAATCAGATTAATTCACTTGCTGAGTGTTCATTTGCGGCATTCCTCTGTTGGGTCTTGGGGGCCCTCCACGACCTAGAAGACAAAAATGGCATTTGATTTTTCTTTCAAATACTATTTGTTTTGCCTTCAAGCAGATTTTCATCTGAAGTCAAGAAGCATGTGGGCAGAGCTTGTCACATTATTAGGTTTAAGAGGTCAATTCTTCAGCGTTCAAGTTTCACCCTTTCTGGAAGTTGTCATGCGTAAAATTTGCTCATGTTCTCTAGCTAAAAGAAGAGTAGAGCTAATGGAGTATTCCACCAGTACTCATTCATTCATTCATTCAACAAGTATTTATTGAGTGCCTACTATGTGCCAGGCACTGTCATCAGGCGTTGGGAATAGATACAGCAGTGAAGACAGACAAGGTACCTGCTCTCACGGAGCTTACATTCTAGTGTACACTCTAGCTTACATTTCAGTAGTAAGTAACATCATACTATCAAAATTAATAAAAGCACCAGAATGAAAACAGACCTTATTACCTAAACTGTTAAAAACTAAACCACGTAACATTCAAACTTTTATAATGACTTGTAACAGATAAAATAATTTTACATGCTGTTAAAACAGATTTTAGCTACCAGTTAACTCAACTTTCATAGAATATGCTACAAGGTGGGAAAGAAGAACACAACCCATTCACATGCAAATAACCTTTGACACTTCTGGTCAAGTCAGTAATTCTCAAGTGATCCATTAATTTAAAAAAAAAAAAAAAATGCACCTTTTTGTTGGCCAGTTGCTACTAGCATTCAAATCAAAGTACTTTGTAATTTCTCAATATACATTTTATACATGTTATGGCCAATAACTAGAGGAAACTTATTCAATGTTTTAGCCTCCTTCAAATCAGAGAACCATTTAGAACTTCAGATTATATGAAATGCTAGCTCTAATTATTAAACCAAGTTAATTTCCTGACCAAATAGCAAGTAGTTTTCCAATGATAAAAGACAAAACAGAAAATTCTTTAAATCTATAATTTTTAAATATAGTTCAATAAGAAAGAATTTGGGGGTTTTATTTAAAAGTCAGAATTTGATATTTAGATCACTTAATCGTGGGGCAAACGGTATTATAATTTCAATTAGTTCTATTACTTCTAAATGGTTCTCTAAATGTGACTATGGCTTGCCTGGCCATTCAAGGGTTACTGGTCTTAAAATATAATATGCACGTTTCAAAAATGAATGAGGAATAATAAATTTTTATAAATGTTCAATCTCACTCCAAAAATGTCTTACAAAAATGTTTCAGTAAGTACTTCCTAAAAACATTTAGCAGGTTTTAGGACCTGAAAAATAATTTCCAGTTGGAAAAACACTTTTCCGAGGAAGAGAAAATGTTCTGGTTTTCAAGACAAGTTTATATAGTAACAGGGAAAGCCATTCAAAAATTAAACTTTGGGTTTAAGATTAAAGTTTTAGAAACAGAGCATTTCATTTAATCCCTAGCAACAAGTCTGGAAAAGATCAGTGTATTCCTAACATGTGACCTACATGCAGACTATGAACAGCTCTTCCAAGGCCAGAACAGATCCAGCTAGGATCACCACCACAAAATATTACCTCGTGGGGCTCCCCGTGGTCCACTCTGCCCAGAGCCTCGCTTGAAATTCTGCTGATATCCATCCTAAAAGACAAGCTAGTTAGTACTGTAAGCAAGAAAGGGCAATTTTTATAAAATGCTTACCCATCTATCTCTATTGTTAACGTTTCACCCTTGCAGAATATAGAATTCCTTTTTCTTGTAGACACTTCAAAAAGCTATTCTAGGTACTACACTTCTAGTATACTCAACATTTAATGAGAAATTTACCTGCTCTTGAAAATCATTGTTTTTTAACAGACTTTCCTATCTATACTGACTACAAAGGAAAGCAAGAGCCATCATTTTCTAACAGAGTAGCTTGGATAGGACAGAACCCCAAATTAATTTCTGAGACCCACTCTGCATTTACCTACCCGCTGATAGCCGGAGTAGTCCCGGGGAGCACTGAACTGAGACTGTGTATAACCACTGTTCGGAGTGTTAGAGAACGAAGGGCGGTAACCATCATAGCCTCCTAAAATTTAGGACAAAAAAATGTAACTTTCTGTTCACAAAGAATTCTTAATTTCTTATTAATGATAACGGGGAGGTTAGAAAAAGTTTAAGCCATGCTAATTATTATGCTACTTTCTAATCTGTTTATGAATATCGGTAAGTACTAACTCCATCCATACCTACGAACACATACATACACACAACGATGACAACAAAAGGGAAAAAAATCCCGTAAGGTCTGATAATACAAAAAAAAATTATTGCTTAGAAGTGATATGACAAAGGACAAAACAAACACTGCCCATTTTTGTCATTTAAAATAAATACACCTAAATATACCCTAAACTTTTTTTTCTTTGAACTCACTATGTAGCACAAGCTGGCCTTGAACTCAGGGCTATCCTCCTGCCTCAGTCACGGGCTGGGATTACAGGCGTGTGCCACCACGCTTCGCCCTAAACTGTTTAAATTCTACATAAAGACACTAAAGCAGAGAATCACATCCTTTCCCCAAACCATGACATATTTCTATCTATTTTATGAAGTAGAAAGAACCTGAATCAAGTTTTTTTTTTACCTCTGAACCCATTGGCAGGGCCCCGGTATCCATTTATCAAGCCTCTAGCGCCACGGGAACCTCCACGGGACACACCACGACTATTATAATAAGGCTGACTGCTACGTGGAAATCCAGTGTTCTGCTGAGGAGGCTGCTGGTGGTTGCCAGTCACTTGATGAGGCTGGTCCTGGGAGCCATGGTAAGTGCCAACCACTGTAAGCAGAAAGTATGAACACTGTACACATATGCACATACATGTAACAGCCCGGTACCCTTTGTCCTCCCCCACAGGCTTTCTAGTTTAAGGAATATCTCCTACAGTCTCCTCAAAGTTTAATTATGTCTTTAAATAAATTTGTGTACTAACAGTAGGGGAAACTACATATTAATGAAGTCCTTGTTTTTCTCCTACCCATAGATTAAGCCAAGCAATGTACAATTCCCTACAATAATTCTAAACCTTTGACAGGAGGGTATACAATTCCATGTTTCCAAACCAATGATTTCAAAGAATATGCTTCTGTATCTACCTACCTACCAACTTATATACATATACATTTGAGTGGGAAGGTGGGGGTCTCACTCTGTAGTGCAGGTTGGCCTTAAACTCACTATGTAGCCCAGGCTGCCTCAAACTTATGATGATCCTCCTGCCTCAGTCTCCTGGGTGCTGGGATTACAGCAGCGTGCCATCATCCCCAAAGAGAACTATATACTATTAACATCTGAAAAGCAACTACCTTTTAGCACAAGGGACCCACAGTAAGTCAAAAGATTTATATGCTAAAACAGTACAATTACCATTTTGTGCCTTTTAATTACTTTTTATTATAAAGCTCCTTAGTGTGAGTTTATCTTAAATTTCTGTTGGCATTTAGTGTAACGTACAAAATCACAGACTCATAGCTAAGAAATTACATGACAGATCACGCCATCCATTACATAGCTAACTCAACAGAAGCCTTCCAACTTATACCTCTTAATGACTGACTTCATTTCGAAGTCTTCAAAATGACAAGTATGGCCAGTTTAAAAAGACAGTTAAAATGGTCTGGCATTCAATCCAGTCGAAAATAAGGTATACATCTAGAGGGCTCATATTACCTTGAATATATACTCATCCTCTTCTAAAATGAGAATTCTGGAATATAGAAACTTTCAAAAATTAAATACCAAGGTGCCTTTTTAGTATGAACTACAATGGTTATAATTCACCGGAGAGGCAAAACAGGGTTCTGTGACTTAAAAATCTGTACCTGACCTACTTTATACCCTCAAAAAACTTGCTATTTTCCAATAAAAAACACCCCCAGAGAATGTATAGCAAGAGAAGAGAAAGTGTCATGGACCCTCTGAACTACTTATAGACCAACTACACCACTCACAGTGTAATGTTTCTAAGACTGCCTTTGATTACATCCCCAAAATTTAAACAAAATAAGGTATGGTCTGTATTTTTTTTTAAAAATCAGAATTCCTTATTGTTTGTAAAAATATAAACTTATGGTCCATGAAGAAACACCAGATACTTATGTGAGATCCTTTCCATGTTATTCCTGATTAGATACTAACTCAAATTAAACACAAAATCTCTGGAATCATTAGGATACATTGATTTGTTCAACAAATATCAGAATGCTGACAACATACCAGACATGTTCCTGGACACATGCGATGTGTCAGTTGCCAATACAGACTTGGACACATACCTTTGTTCTAATGAGATAATTAAGTAAAATGAATGAGTCACCAAGAGTGAGCTGTATGTAGAAAGAGTGATGAAAAAGAGGTCCATGAGAGGTGAGACTGGAGCACAGACATCAATGAAATGCAGCAAGCAGTGCAGAAATAAGAGATTTATACAACATGGTGGCCAACTCCTCATAATTTACTAAGAGATTATATGTTCCTGTTCTTTACCAAATGATAAATAGAAGAGATAATACACTGTCAGCTCAATTCAGCCATTCCACAATGTACACAAACTTCAAATCAACTCATACAGAAGTATATACAGATTTGTCAATTAAAAATAAATATATTGGCTGGGCATAGTAGCACATGCCTGTAACCCCAGCACCAGGAAGGCGGAAGCAGTAATTCAAGGCCAGCCTGAACTACATAGCGAGACCATGTCTCAAAAAACCAAAAATAAATAAATAAAGTCTATCAACACCCTGTCTAAAGGCTCCAAATGTATTTGTAACACAACTAATTTTTAAATACATAACTCAAAGCAGCAGCCCAGGTTCTTTCTTGTAGCACTTGTATCAGACTATGGCTAATTCAACCTCTATACTCAGTAGAGGTACTGGAGACTACCGTGATATCTAAGAATTTCCTACTGAAAAATGTATAGTGTTAAACCAGGTTTATCAAGAAACTGAGCAGTCAGAAAATGCCAAGTATTTAAAACCAGTGTGGTAGAACTAAGAGCATTAATTCCTATGATTTCAACAGAATGTTAGTTTGTTGTGGGGTTCTGATTAATTCCAAGGAATTAACCGAAGACCTAAAAATGATATTTCATGTCTTTTTTTTTCTTTTTTTTTGATATTTCATGTCTTATATAAGTCTAAAATATCTCTACTTACACTACTATGGTGAGAGGTATGGGACATGCCCAAATTATGCAGCTTGTTTGTCAAGGATTCTGTTGAACCTACTCCACAAAATACCATACAGTCACCAACTAGTAAGATGTATGCAAAAGTTTTACTACAACTTAGTACAGTCAGAAGCAAGAAAACAATTTCTGAACTTCATGTAACTGACTTACTGCTACCTATCATGTTAGATGGCTCTAAGCAATCAGCAACTAAAAGGTTATCTATCACAACGGAAGTAACAAGTCTAACAAATTTAATTCCAATGAGATGATATAATGAAACAGGTACATTATAAAAGCTCAATGACCAAAACAACAAAAAAAGGAGTAAGGCCTCCAAAAGGGCAGGATGATCTTAATTTAACCTACAGTTCAGTTTCCATGGCCTACTGCTCTATCAAAACTGCTGCCTGCCCTGTGGTATCTCTGTGCTGAAGAGAAAGCAGGCAACAAAGTGACACCGGTTTTCCTACCTGTTTGAAGCTGTTCTTGCTGGAGCTCTGTCTGCTCCACTTGGTGAGGCGGACTGGAAAAGCTCTGGTTATAACTGGACTGGTACTGGTTTTGCTGTTTTAAAGTTTCTGGTTCATTAACAGGAGGAACTGGGGCATTCATATTGAATACCTGTGAGTGAATGAAGTGAATGATTAGCTCCTCCCTTCCTTTGCTCACTGCTTTGAACAAGGCAGAGCTCAATGCTGGCTTTCCCACAAATGTAAATATAGATCACAGAAGTCTCAAACACGTATGTATGTTGAAATAAAAGACACAAGAAAAACATTCAGTGCAATTCAATGTAAACAAAATGCAAACTCCTGATGCAGTACCATTTGCAGAAATTTAATCTACGAACAGAGTTGAAAATTTGATTTATTTCAATTCATTTTGATTGACATTTTAAGAAATTAACTCTGAATATTCCTCTGAACACTGACTTAGCTGTATCCCACAGGTAAACTTCTTTTTCGTTTTTGTTTTTTCCTCAAGATAAGGTCTCCCTCTGTAGTTCAAGCTGAATTGCCTAGAATTTGTAGCAGTCTTGCCTCAGTCTCTCAGGTGCTGGGACTACAGGTATTGAGCCACCACACCCAGCTGTTTTTATTATTTTCTAGAAATCCTCTAATTTAAAGATACTTGATGAACCAAGGTGAAGCATGACATCGCAGTTTTATTTTGCAAAACTTAAGTAAAACAATAGATTAAGCAAATAAGGCAAAGTGTTCATTGTCAAATTTAGATTACAATTATATGAATGTTAAGTCTACTTTTTTGTATGTTTAAACTTTGTTAATCAAGTCAAAAGGCTAAAACCACCGAACAGGAAGACGCAGGTACATAGAACTTGTAAGGCTCAAATTTATCTGAGATCATAAAAATTTTAGTTCAATTAAATATACCCTGCAATTACAACAGATGCAGACTAAACTCAGTTAAAAGAAGCCTCTTTGTGGAGCATCTAGCATGATTCCCTACGATCAGGTACTTAGTATCAGCTGAACTGACTTGCTTACCGTTTGCATGGACTGGAATGGAGCTGCATTTACATTGATTCCACTGCTATGTAAAGGTTTGCTCGCCCCAGCCTGGAATACCTGAGGCTGAGAAGCAGCAGGAAGGGATGAGGATGCTGTAGTCTGGTCTGTACTTAGAGAGATTGTTGCCTAAACAAAAGTAAATAAATAGATGCACTTTAGAGGTAAGCTAACCTGAACCTTTTGTATACTAACAAGGTCAACTACTTCATAAATGAAAAACAGATCCTAAAGGAAGTAACAATATTAATCCCAAAGTGCTTTGCCCAATACAGTAATTGCACATGATCATCAACTCATCAAGCTGATATGGCCCTGGAAATAAAGCTTGCCTGAATCTGATCAATTGGTTCCTTTTGTGGCCGCTGCTCCGTCGCATGCGAAGGCTGGTACAAGGGTTGAGATGCTGTGTATCCCTCACTCGTGGATGAAACCAAAGGAACCTAGAAAAAAATTATCAAAGCTTTGTCCTTCCTACAAAATTAACTGGTCAATATAAACCAACCCTAATATAGAGAGGGCTAGGAAATATACATACTTATACCTTCTCTCTGTACTTGTAGACTACATAATCTGAAGTTAAATATACCCGAGTCTTATTTGAAGTCCCTTAGCTTCAAAGAGGACAAAACTTGTTCTAAATTTTTGCCTAAAATGTCTTCTGAAATTCAATTCAGCTAGAAATTAAAAAGCTCCTTTGATTTTAATAAAATGTATAAACATAAGAAGTAACAAAACAATTTAAAAAGTTAACGAAGACAAAAAATGGGGACCTAAAGGTTGGTAACTACGAATGCCAGTGAATATGTAACAGAAGACTTGGACACTTCTCAAATGCAGAGATGATGTTCATAAGAGGCATAAAAAGTCTAAAAAAAAAATTCTTACCACTCTTACCTGTGCAGCTTCTGGTTGTACAGAAACTTGACTAGGCTGAGCAAGTCTAGATTCAGAATGAACTGCAAAATGGAGAGGATGATTGTTATATATAATCAAACTTCTTAAGAGATGCCTAAGTACCTTTTATGGGGCTGCTAAGGCAAATTTCTAAGTCCAAATCCTCAACCAAGGGCATTGTGACGCACATCTATAATCCCAGCACTCGGCAAGCTGAGGCAGGAGGATTGCTGCAAGTTCAAGGACAGCCTGGACTACATGGTGAGTTCAAACCTGATATGGACTATACAGCAAGACACTGTCTCCAAAAAATAAAAACTAAAATAAAGATTTCCTTTCATTTGATATTTTATAAGGATAAGGAAAAATGTCAGTGAGAAAGCATCAACCAAGAGGTATAGAAAGAAAAAAAAAGAAAAAGAGGTACAGAAAATAACAGATTCAATATTATGGTTGTCCATGATAAAGCTTTTATGGGAAGAGGGTGTCCTGGACTATATGTTTGGTTGAGATAGGGTCTCACCATATAGCTCAGGCTGGCCTTAAACTCACTACGCAGACCCACACCATCCTCATAGTAAGAGCAATACTCCTGCTGTCTCAGCCTCCCAAATGCAAGGATTACAGGAAGTCTGCCACTACACCTGTATTTTGTTTTGTTCTGATGTGGTAATGATGGGGATTGAACTCAGGGCCTTCCAAATAAGCTATATCCCTAGCCCTTTTTAAAGACTTGTCTCCCACCACTGTTCAAGTCTCTAAGTTTGAACTTAACACTACAAGAAAGTAGCATTGCCCATACTCAAATTATTGGTTAAATTATGGACTTTCAATATAATCTCAAAATATTTCTACAGGGAAAGAAAGTAAAATACAGAAATATGCCTTTAAAAAGCCTGTACTTTATATTTCAGTATGCACCTTATTAGTAGTTCTTAACATTCTCCCACCTGACCCCTCCAACCATAGTTAAGTATCAAAAATATAGAACTATATAGCTGGGCATGGTGGTGCAGTATAATCCCACCACTCTGGAAGGCTAAAGCAGGAATATTACAAGTTCAAGTCCCACACCTGCGCAACTCAGCAAGACTTTATCTCAAAATAAAAAAATTTTAAAAGATCTGAGGACATAGCTCAGTCTGATAAGCTAAAGGTCCTGGTCCAATCCTCAGTACCAGTAACAAAAAAAGAGAACCGGGCATGGTGGCGCATGCCTGCAATCCCGGCACTCACGAGGCTGAGGCAGGATTGTTGTGAGTTCAAGACCAGCCTGGGCTACTAAGTCAGCTCAAGGCCAGCCTAAACTGCACAGCAAGACCCTGTCTCAAAAAAAAGGTGGGGATGGGCTGGGGATTTAGCTCAGCGGCACAGCACCTGCCTGGCAAGCGCAAGGTCGTGAGTTCAACTCCCAGTACAGGAGAAAACAACAACAACAACAAAAAATGTCGGGGAGGGAAAGGAGGGAATAAACAACAACCAAAACTAAACAAAACCCAGATCACTGGTCACTCATTTAGAAACCACAGATTTTCACTGGAGAACCTAAAGGACTCAAATTTATCTAAGTACGTAAATATCTAAACAGCCATACAGGTTGCATCAGTGCTAAAAGCGTTGACCATGGCACAATTTAGAACCTGATAAAATTACACGTTTTCATCCTCTAATAAAGTTCTTACAATGACATTAAAGAATTGTTGACTGCTTTCTAGCACGTTTGACGTATGTACTCTAAATCCTCACAGAGATGTGAGATACAAGCTCCCTGTTCTACAGAGAATTCCGAACTACCTTACCAAATGAACCATGTCACTGAACATACTTCTGCCCTCAGCTTCACCTGTAACATTTAAGACTATGCAACATGAATTAAATGTTACACAGCACTTTGTGCCACTAACACAGACACACACTGGGGGAAAACTAGGAGCACTCAAGCTTACTGTTTCTATAGGGAGGTACAAGCCCAATGCAAGGCACTGCTTGGTGTTGTGACTTCAGATAATGCTGTAAAGCCACTAAACACTGAAACTGCAACTCTGACTTATCCTTTCCTCTTTCCTGTAAGTGTTCCCTTACTCCACATTCCTATGTCTCATTCTGATTCAGGGAATAAAATGTTCAGACATTCTCCTAGAAAGATGGAAGCATCCACAGAAAGCCACCTCCATTATTTTTATTCCTAAAATTAATTTTGTAGGTTTTTTTCCCTCCTCCATTTTTTAACACAAGAGTCTCACTATGTATTCCAGACTGGCCTTGAACTTAGCCTCCAGAGTAATGGGATTACAGGCTTCCTTCCTAGGATTAATTGTGAAATTTAAAGAGTCATTCAAAATTTTACTTAGGCCAATTACAAAAACCAGGTACCCTATCTACAGTGGTACAAATAAGGAAGTGGGTAGTTACCATGGAGTTAGGGGAGACTTGGAAACAGTCAGTAACTAGTGACTGAAAGGGAAGACAAAACAGGTTTCTGGGGTACTAATGATGTTCCATTTCTTGGTCTGGATAGCAGTGTGTTCAGTTTGTGAAAACCCATCAAATTTGCATGTATTTTTCCGTTCCTATAAGCCAATAAAGTTTTTAAAATTATGTAACTACAGTTATGATTCACACTGTAAGATAAATAAGTAACAATTCTTAACAAATTAAAGATTCAAAGTTATGCAAGCATTGAAAAGGGAAAAAATTTCCACCAACTTCATAGAACCTGACAGTACTAGTGTTTCCTACATTTTATCTTCACGTCAAAGTACGGTTACTAACCAGGAGGGCAAACCAGCTGGGGCATGTCCATGTTTTGTGCTGGATTCATAGGCTGTGCAGATACAATGGCAGGATCAAGAGTCTGGTTTTCAAAATCCAGCATTGAATCCTACAAGTGAGGATACAACACAGTTAAGTCAAATAGTATAAGCACTGAAACCTTTTTTCTTTTTTTTTAACTGAAACCTTCTGTTGTAGTACTTTACTAAAATGTACCCACCTGTATGAAATTGTAAGGCCCCTGCATTTGTGCCATAAGATCTTGTACTCGCTGTCTTCTCACAAGGGGATCTGCCTGAGCCACCGGAGTCAGAGCGTGGGGCTCTGGTACTGAAGGAGATGCAGCCTGAGGCTGCTGCTGGAGTGAATTTACTACCTAAGGTGGGAGGAGAAAAAGTGGTGGCAGAGTATGTAAGTTCTCCTCATATTGTCATGACTGGTACCCAAACTGCACAACAGAACAGGCTTTAGTTACTCAGCTACAACAACCTAATCTCAAACTTGGCATTCTGATCAACACCAACACTTCTCTAGTGTTCTTAATTCCAATGGATCACTAGCTAACTTTCAGACGTACTTTATCAACCGCTTTCAAACAGAAACTACCTGTTCTAGGGGCTGGGGATTTAGCTCAGCGGCAAAGGCGCCTGCCTGGCAAGCGCAAGGTCGTGAGTTCGGTTCCCGGTACGGGAAAAAAAAAAAAAAAAAAAAAAACAGAAACTACCTGTTCTTACTTTCAAAAACAATCCATTTTGCTTAAACTATTATTCCTTCTAGAGTAACTAGATCTGTATGCTATCCACAGCACATATATATTTATCTCAGCACCTGGTGTAAGTCCACATTGATGAGGTGCTGGTCTTTACTATCACCAAAATATAGATTTTCTTTCATCTCTCTAAAACTCTAGGATCGGGCCGGGGATATAGCTCAGTGGCATAAGCACCTGCCTGGCAAGCGCAAGGTCCAGAGTTTGATTCCCAGTACCGAATACTACTACTACTACTACTAATACTACTACTACTACTACTAATAATAATAATAATAATAATAATAATAATAATAATAATAATAATAATAATAATAAAACAACTCTGCTTGAGGCTGGGGATTTAGCTCAGCGGCATAGCATCTGCCTGGCAAGCGCAAGGTCGTGACTTCGATCCCCGGTACGGGGTGGCGGGGGGGAGACGGCACGGGGACGGGACACAACTCTGCCAGGCAGGGTAGCTCATGCCTGTAATCCCAGCACTCAAGAGGCTGAGGCAGGAGGATCACTGTGAGTTCGAGGCCAGCCTGGGCTACAAAGTGAGCTCAAGGCCAGCCTGAACTGCATAGTGAGACCCTGTCTCAAAAAGACCAAAAAACAAAAAACAAAAAAAAAACTCTAGGATCAAGATACTATCACCTCAACTAAACTGCTACCAATACCAACTCACTCCAGTCTCCTTCCAAACCCTAATAATTTTTCTATTATTTTTCTTAAGAAAAAGAAATCCCAGCTTTGCTTGGGAATTCTAATGTTTATTATAACAAATTTGTAATTTTTTCTCTAGCTTTTAAGTTTGGTAATGATGTATTGTTGAGCCTGGGCAAATCACTATCTTATTTCCTTTACAAACAACACTGAGAAAGCCAGGCGTGGTGGTGCACACCTGTAACCCCAGCACTCAGGAGGCTGAGGCAGAAGGATCACTGTGAGTTCAAGACCAGCCTGGGCTACAAAGTGAGCTCAAGGCCAGCCTGAAATGCATAGCAAGACCCTGTCTCAAAGACAAAAAAACAAACAACTCTGAGATAAAAATCACTACATTCTTTATCATGAAAAACCAATTTAGCTATCAACCTCAGCATGCTACAGAAATTTTTGCAATCTCATATAGACAGCTTTAGAAAGACCCACCTATCAGTTTTAAGAACAAACCACATTAGTACAGCAATACACTCATCTCTCAAATAAAATGCTAGTACCTTAACTGCAAAGCACTGTGTTTTAGTTCTCAACCTTTTCCTGTATGACCAACATATCTTTCAATGAAAAAAATATGCTAATAATTCACTTCCCTGCCGCTGCTAACGCATGGCATGGAATACTATGGCTCCCCTAAAAACATATAACCAACCTACTTAGCCAAAGCCCAACTGGTTGGCACACTTCTTGCATAAACTACCATTCTATAGATCTTTTTTACCTATTTTTCTAACTCTTCTGTAATATTTCTCAAACACATTCCTTATTTGACAAGTATATAATGTTTTATTAGGGTTCCACAAGGCAATATTTCTACTAAGTATCTTTCTAGAGTAGTAGTTCAGTTTTTTACTCAATCTATCAATAACTCATCTTGGTATTCCAACAGAGCTCAAATTACTGACAACTGCACCACTTTTGGAGAAGGATTCTGACAACAGAGTATTTTTTAAGGAGAAAAACCTATTACTCAAACCTTAAAATTACTTTTGGAGGTTTAAAGGCAGGCCCCTTAACTTAAAAGAGGATAGGGGGTGGGAGAAGCTAGTAAGATCAACTAGTAAGACTTTACCTTTTTCTTTTCTTTTGGGAAATCAGATCTTACTATGTACCTCAGGGTGGAGTTAAACTCATTATGTAGCCAAGAAGCCTCAAACTTGCAACCCTCCTGCCTCAACCTCCAAAATGCTGGGAATTACAAGCATGTGCCACCACCCCTGGCTTTTTACTGTATTTTATAGGCAAAGCACAACTAAGGAGACATCTTAGTATATTAATCAAAGCTAACTTTTCCTATGAATAACTTGTACAAATGATCATGATGGCCTGGAGGCAGTCAGGAAAGGGAAATGTTAAGTAAGTCAATGGATTAGAGACGAGAACCTGAAAAAGTCTTAATATAAGCTGAGAGACAACACCAAGAAACACTGAAGAAACCGATAGCCTGGTACCAAAACCAGCATCAGAATGAAAGAGTTCAGGATGACACCCCAACACATTCTCTGTGAAGTGGGTTTCTCTGAGGGTTATTGATATGAGAGCCCAAATGTTTACAGAGCAAGCTGATACACTTTAAGCAATAGGGGAATCCACAGGTAACACTGTATAAAATAATTTTTATAATCAAATCAGCCACCAGCAAATTGTAATACACATCCACAGAAATAAACAAATCATCTTTTAAATACAACAGCCTTGCCGGGCATGGTGGTGCACGCCTGTAATCCCAGCACTCGGGAGGCTGAGGCAGCAGGATCGTTGCGAGTTCCAGACCAGCCTGGGCTATAAAGTAAGCTCAAGGCCAGCCTGAACTGCATAGCAAGACCCTGTCTCAAAAAAAAAAAAAAAAAAAAAAAAATACAACAGCCTTGTGTAATAAGTTTGGTAGTCTAATGAACAAATTATACCAATTAATTTATTCAGGAGGAAAAATTACTTATTAAAGACAAAAACATCAACTAGAAATATAAACTCACCTCAACTGTTTCAACTGTCCACTCCTCCACCTGCTCCTTTTCACCACTGCTGAACTGTGTTTCTGCCATAAATTGTCTATTTACATACTGCAAAGCAAAGTAAATGTTTAAGATATCTGTTTGAAAGGCAGAAAAATACAACTAGTATAATGATTTTTTAGAAAAATCCTACCTCTGTTGATTCAACTTCACTTTGCTCAGTGTATTCTTCTGCTGGCTCAGGCTCTAAGAAGTTAAAAAATAATGAAGAAAAAAATCAAACACCTAAGATATAAGTCAGTGAAGGTAGTCCATACGATACTGTACTGGTGGAAAGCTGTCATGACATATTTATCCAAGTGTATAGAGGGATGCTATCTCAAAAAAAAAGGCTGAGAAACCAAAAAATATAAATAAGGACCAAAACGTACAATAGATATAGGGGGAAGCCCGGCACGGTGGTGCACACCTATAATCCCAGCACTTAGGAGGCTGAGGCATGAGGATCATTTTGAGTTCAAGACCAGGGTGAGCTACAAAGTGAGCTCCAGGTCAGCCTGAACTGCATAGTAAGACCCCATCTCAAAAAAAATAAATAAACAAAACAGATATTGGGAAAAAGAAGAAAAAGTTCAAATGGAAGCAGAACAAGAAAGCAGGGAGAGGGATAGGAAGGAGGAGACAAGGAAAAAAGTGGAAACAAAGCTCTTGTAAATAAGAAAGAGAAGAGGGATTGAAAGGGGGGAAGGAAGTGGGAAAAAAAAGAAGACATATCATGCACATACCGTGCATCACCCTATGATGAATGGGATCAACATGTATACCTAACATATACTAACAAGATTAAAACCAGAAAAAAAAGGGCTGGTGATATAGCTCATACAAAGACCCTGGGTTCAATCTCAAGTATGGAAAAAAAAAGTACTTCCTTATGTTATCTACTATTAAATTCTACCAAAGTGCAATCTCCTCTCCTGCTTTCCACTAGAGAAACTTGAGGTACAGACAGCTTTAGTAACTTGCCCAAAGTTACACAGCTACTAATCGCTGAAGCCGAGATATGCATTCAGGTAATCTAATTCTAGAATCTATAACTTTCAACCATTACAACATTTAGCCTTCACTAATTTGTCTAATTGTATTCAGATTTTTACTGAACACAATATCACAATAAAAGTAGTGCTAGTCACAGTCTAAATACATAATTAGTATTGCACTAGGTGTTAAAACTCATTTAGGAAAAACCTCACGCCAGGGAGGAATTTGTAACTCAAGATTATCAAATTATGTGGGGCATGGTTATGCACGGCTGTAATCCTAGCACTTGGGAGGCTGAGGCAGGAGAGGCACTGAGAGTTCGAGGCCGTACATAGTGATTTCAAGGCCAGCTTGATCTCCTTGTCTCAATAAAACAAAAAAAATTATCAAGTTATACTATCCCTATGATTAAAAAGAGAAAAATCACTTTTCATGACAGCATGATAAAGAACATGGGAATATCAGACAAAAGCCCATTTTAAAATCTTTTCAACAACTGGCCCTGACCCATACTCCCGTAGGTAATATTATAGGCAAAAGAATTATCAGTTTATAACCAGGCTCCAAACTGTTAAGACAAATGACTAAGCCTGATTATGATTCCTACATGGAAGTACTCTTGAGATGTTCCATCTTAACTTTCTGTCCACTTAGTTTCTTAAAACTCTAAACGTACGGATGTAACAAGTGAGCAATGAACTCATAACAAAGGAAGGGGAGGCTCCTCCCCGCTGAACACACACCAGCTTCCGCGACCTGGTCTTCCACTGCAGGCGCCGACGCTGCCTCCTCTTCCTCACACAGCCCATTCTGGTGGTTGTGGGTGCTGTCAAAGTAGTTTGACTGAAACACACGCTCAACGATTTCTTTTAGAGCCTTATCTAGAGATGAACATAAATCAGAACGTTAGACTATGTGAAAACACTAGGCTTCGAAAAAGTTCAACACTCTTTCAAAATACTATGGTAAGAAAAAACCACCTAATCAACTGTTACTAAAACATCTATATATAGAAAAAGATTAAATTTCACCAACAACAGAAATGATTACAGAGTAACAGGGATCAAAAACTCATCTATATCAAAACCTTTGGGGGCGGGGGCTGGGGATCTAGCTGAGCGGCACAGTGCCTGCCTGGCAAGCACAAGGTCATGAGTTCAATTCCTGGGGGGGGGGGGCTTGCAGGGGGTTGGGTTTTTTGTTTTTTTGGTTTTTTTAGAGACAGGGTCTTGCTATGTTGTTAAGGCTGGCCTTGAACTCACTATATAGCTCAGGCTGGCCTCAAACTTGAGGCAATCCCCCTGCTGCGGTCTCCCTAGTGCTAGGATTATAGGCATGTACTACAGCGCCCAACCAATTTTAAGTATTGGGGAAGGTGACAACACTTACTCATTCAGTAAGCATCTATTTACTCTAACACAGAAGGCATCAAATACAAAAACGGTACCACAGAGGACAATGGGCTGGACCGAGGCAGGGCTGTGACTGCAGAGTTGAGACACAGAAAGTGAGTAGAAGAGGGAAAGGGCTCCGGGGAGAGGCAAGAGCACAAAGAAGGTACCAAATGCAAGCAAACGTCAATGCTTAAATGCCTGCCTGGCATGCATGAGTCCCTGGCTTCCATCCCTCACCGGTGCAAGGGCACAAGTGAAAGGCTTGGTGCCTGCCTGGAGCACTAGTGGGAAACGGCAGATCCTAGTGGAGGTGCACTGAAAGGGGAGACTGGCGCCCTCCCACCCTTCTCTTTGCTTCCAGATAGTTTACACTGAGGTAAGCAGCTCTGCTCTATGATTCCTGAACCTACAGAAGCGTAAGCCAAAATAAACTCTTCCTCCTTATGTCTCAGGTCTTTTGTCACAGAATGGAATGCTGAGTAACATACTCATCTCCACAAAGGAAAAAAGAAAACACAAAACCACATTAAAGGGGCTGGGGATTTAGCTCAGCAGCACAGCGCCTGCCTGGCAAGCACAAGGTCATGAGTTCAACTCCCGGTACCAAGGGGAAAAAAAAAAAAAAGAAAAACCAAAAAACAAAGCCAAGTTAAATTAGGACTCTGTCCGCCACGTGAGGTGGTAATCCCAGAATTCGGGAGGCTGAGGCAGGACTGCTGGAGTTCAAGGCCATCATGGGCTTAATACTGAGCTCAAGGACAGCCTGAACTACACAGCAAGACCCTGTCTCAAAAACAAAAAAAGTAGGATCTTGTCTTCACAGATTGTTGGTTATTTGCTGTTCAAAGTTCTGATTTACACACAACACATACATACAGACCAAAAAAGAAAAAATCAGATGCAAAGAAGTAAATAGTAGATGAGCATTAAACACTTCTAAACTTCCTGCCAGTAATATATTGTTAATTATAAATTCATCTTTAAAGATTTTAGTGATAAAATCAGTTAACTATGATACTCACAGGTTGTCCCACATACAGGTTTGTCCTTCCCTTCCAGTAAGTCCCACAGGTGAACGGAGGCATGTTCATACTGCTCATTCAACCTTACAATAAGACCATTGAGTAGCTTATTAATGAAATGTCACTTGTCCACTTAAGGAAGCATTTACAAGCTTCTGTTATCAAACACCACATACCTTAGGCTCATGTCCCGTTCAGGGTCTACTAACTTGTAGAACTCGTCCAACAGTGACAGTTCCTCTTCAGACAGGATCGGAACCCCGTTCAATCCTTGTTTCAAGTCAGTTCGTACTTCATCATCTCCTAACTTGTCCAAAACATACTGTAGCTCAAGTACAGTTTTTAAACGTTTCTGTTCAGCTTCTTCTCTCATAAGCTGTTCCCGGCGTGCTGTCTTCTTTATTGTTTTCTGAATCTGTAAAAGAACATAAACATAAAGACACTGAAGTTCTAACTTCTACTAACTGACAAGGAGACACCAAAACCCAGCACTGCCTCCTTGCCCCAAACAACTGCAGGCCCAATGCAAATAAGATGCAGCTCATTCAGTGAGTGACAGGGATTCCAATACACAAAAGGGTAATTCCCCTACACTAGAAGTGTAGTTTCACTGTTAGAAATCAAAACACGTATTTCTCTAGAATGTGTGAAAGCTGCTAAAAAGTTATCGCTGAAAAAATAAACTTAAGAATTTGTTTCAAAATAATCTAGCATTTAAAAAAAAAACATCTAGCAAACAGGAGAAATAGGAGCACAATAGGTATACATAAGAAATAACCGCCCATGAGACAGACTACAGAAGCTAATTACAGAGACATTCACTATATTCTTTAGTTTTAGATATATATATATATATATTTATGTTTGAAACTGTCCATAAGTAGTATGAAATTTAGAATTAAACCACTGAGCCAATTAAAAAAGAATCCCAACTACAGGAATAATAAAACTATCACCTCTCTTCTATGGAAAACTGATCCAAATTTCTAGGAACCTTCTAAAAACTCCTAAGGAGCAGCAACAACCACCACTGCCCTTGCCCCGAACAATCCACTGCTCGTACCAGAGACACATCCCAACTGCAAACAGCGACTAAAACTCCTCTGCCTTCATGAACAAGAACGCTGCCAGAAAAGAAGTAGCAGTGAAAGACAGATGAAGCTAAATATGAATAGATTTTCCCCACTATTTTTCTTTCCCATAGAGGTTGGGAAAGCATCAGCCAAATTCAACCAGCTTAGAGCAGAGAAGGGTCAGTCTTCTCAAGAGCCAACGGTGCCTTTTCCTTCCCAATGTTCCCCTCTCCCAAGCCTCAATGGGATGAATTCAGACAAAGAAAATCAAAGCAGGACAAATAAAAGAAATGGAGGGGATGTAGGAGGAATGAAGAAAGGTACAATAAGACAAATCTGTAATGGCGGCAGAGTGGGCAAATGCGATCTTCGCAGTAAATGAAAAGTGGATACATAGTATCTGCACACAGACAGGAAACGGCTAAGTTAGGATGTCAACAAAACTTTCAAGAAAAAAGTGACAGACATCTATTAAAACAGACCACTTGGGAAGCTGAAAAAGCAAGTTTGAGGCCAGCCTGGGCTGCACAATGAGTTCAAAGGCCATCCTGAACTATACAGCCATACCCCACTATATAGCCAGACCCCGTCTCAAAAACAAAAAAATAGATGAGCTTTCCAGTCTTCGGATGGGTGGCTTTAGGGTAGGACATCTTTTATTAGTAGCTAGTCGCAGAAAGAGGGAGACAGAAATGTGACAGGAAGTCAAGAAAGCAAAAAATAAACAAAAAGCAAGCTCCCTTTGATGAAATAGCAATTCAAGTAGTGAAGGTGCAAAGGAGAAGAAAAGATATGCTGAAGCTAGGCCAAAACAGCTCTTGATGAGTAACCAAAAATGTGTAATAATAAAAGGTCAATGCTGTGGATATAGCGCAGCAGCACAAGTGCCTGCCTGGCAAACACAAGGTCCTGAGTTCGATTTCC